ACCATCCAAAAGACAAACAATAACAAATGTTGGCAAAGTTGTGGAGAAAGAGGAACCCTCCTACACTGCTGGTAAGAATGTAAATTAATTCAATCCTTGTGGAAAGCAGTATGGAGGTTCCTCAAAATGCTCAAAATAGAAATACCATTTGAACCAGGAATTCCACTTCTAGGAATTTACCCTAAGAATGCAGCAGCCCAGTTTGAAAAAGACAGATGCACCCCTTGTTTACAATAGCCAAGAAATGGAAGCAACCTAAGTGTCCATCAGTAGATGCATGGATAAAGAAGATGTGGTACATATACACAATGGAATATTATTCAGCCATAAGAAGAAAACAAATCCTACCATTTGTAACAACATGGATGGAGCTAGAGGGTATTATGCTCAGTGAAATAAGCCAGCCAGAGAAAGACAAGTACCAAATGATTTCACTCATATGTGGAGTATAAGAACAAAGAAAAACTGAAGGAACAAAACAGCAGCAGAATCACAGAACCCAAGAATGGACAAACATTTACCATAGGGAAAGGGACTGGGGAGTGTTTGTGGGAAGGGAGGGATAAGGGAATTAAGGGGCATTATGATTAGCACATATAATATGGGGGGGTGGTCACAGGGAAGGCAGTATAGCACAGAGAAGACAAGTAATGACTCTACAACATCTTACTAAGGTGATGAACAGTGACTGTAATGGGGTATGTGGTGGGGACTTGATAATACGGGGAGTGTAGTAACCACAATGTTGCTCGTGTGAAATCCGAGCATAAGATTGTATATCAATGATACCTTAATAAATAAAGTCTGAAGCTATTATATCCATAATACAAAATCATATGTAGGGCTGAAGATACAATTTTGTCAAAATAAAAAGACTCCTATCTAAACTAATTTTTTAAATTGCCATTCTGTGCCTAGAGCTTTATCAGGAAATAAATCATTTACTCACCTAGTCATGTTAACTGTCAACAACAATAAAATTCTTACTGGTTTACTCCCTAACATTACTTCTGATTCCAAATGCCATCTTTTCCTAAGGCTGATTTTTACTTTCTTAAATTTTTTTGTGTGTCATCTCAATTTTTTTAATGAGCAAGTATTATATTTTAAATCCTAACATCAAAAACATTGTCTTACGTTTTTAAAGAAAAAGAGTGGCATTTAAAGCCTTACAGGTGGCCAGTTAGTCATTAAATTAGCTAGTGTTATTTCAGATTTCTCCAAAATACATCTAAATATCACTTTAGAAATTTTCTGGGAATTTAGTATAAAAGTGAGCCAAGAAAGGAAAAATCCTAGTTAGAAAAGTGTTTGAAACGAATCTGAAAGGAGAGATTTCTGATTTCTAGCCTATAAAGAAAATGGAGTCACTTTTTTTTCCTTAAAAAAAAAATGGAGCTGTCAACAGGCTAGAATTTGGCATCTTTAAAGTTTGAATTTGGAGAAAAACTGAAATCAGAAGGATTTCAAATCCTTTGCCCTTAAAATTTTTCACTTGTACAGGAACACCCAGGAAGGGCTGCCTGTCTGGAACGCTAATGAAGTCATCTCCAGACCAGTGCATGGCATCACACTCTACTTGACCCTGGTGGAAGGAAGGCTGGACCCTTTTGTTAGACATACAATGAAAGATTTAAAGCTATTTTGGGGCCAAATGATTCAGAAATTGTTCATACAATCTTAAGCAAGTAACATGACTAATGGTGCTTCCTCATAAACTTGAGCACATTATATTTTGAAATTACATTCTCCCTCCTCCCCGACATTTCCTTACGCCACTATCACAGTAATCACATCAATGCATTCTCCGCAAAGCCGAGTCTCCATTCTCTCCATTCATCCTTAAAAGGCCCATTCCGCAGGTTGTGCTATGCACTGTGCTGCAGCATCTCCGCACTTGAGCTCGGGAATAGGCTTTCCATGACTGCAAGCAGAGCCCTTACCGCATTCCTTCGGAACCTCCTCTTGTCTCTCCGGGGAGTTGCTTCTGCCATCTCGCCTATACACAGTAACACTCTTCTTTTCCAACTGTTAGTGCAACATTGATGAAATCTGAGCTGCTTCGTAGGTAGTATTTAAAAGCGGCAGCCAAAAATCTCTATCAAAGAAAGCTACCACAGCTGCTTCCATTACCACCGTGGCAGCTCCGCAAAAAATCAGCCCACTATCCCCGATTAGTCAGCTGACAGAGCCATCCCGCTGCTCATTGTTATTCAGTTGACACTTTCTCCCAATTACTGAGCCTGACTGAACCTCCTGGATTAGTTTGCGCTGGACTGCTCAAGAGGATCAGGCCTGTCTTAAGAGGCTACGAAGGAAAAAACAAGGACTCTCCTCTCAGGGGCTTGATGGGAACTGGCTTTCTCCTCCACGTAGTTTGAGGTTTTAAGGTGGAATGCTAAGAATCTTCGTGAAGGTAGTAATATCTGATACCTTAATTCTTGTCCTATCTGTCTGTAATTTAAAATTCAATTCCAGCTTGCTGCTTTTTTTGTTATTGTTAATTAAATTCTGTTCTGAGTTTAAGCCTTGTGAAAGGTTAGTCGTTTGTGAGATTTCATCCAATGATAATCTGGAAAGAACATACCATGCAAAATTTCTAACATGGATAGGATTCTCTTCCAAATTAACATTTCCCCAAAATGTATAACTAAAAAAAATCTTGTCTCCTCTCATTAATTATGAAGTATAAATTAAATGCATAACTTATTTTGGAATCTACAAACTAATGTCTTCAAACTGTATTGTACAATTATTTCACAGACACTTGTTTGATATAATATACTAAAGACAGTTACACCTATCTACACAATGGTAATTTCATCACAAATGCTTTTTGACTGCCAACTTTGGCTCCTGAAATTAGCTTGTATTCAATATTTATATTTATTGCAAACAGTACCCAATGGCAATTAATGGTTGAGATATAATTCATGTGCTCTTGACTATGGGTTTGGAAACTTTACTACAAGCAGAAACATTTAAAATGATAAAAAGAAACAACACTTAAAATACTCTACATATTTAGTTACATATCATGACCACCTATACCCCCATCCTGCCCTGCACCATGAATTTGGCAGTTCTGAGGAGAAAGGGACCCTGAGTGCTAAGCTCTTTGGTTCATACTTGCCACTGAGATAACATCTCTAGGAAAACAGGGAACTGTCACCTCCCCCCTAAAAAATGCATTATTGCTCTGCTGACCCCAAATCAGTAGGATCAATAGCAAATCTTATTGTTTCTCTTTTAGGAAAAACAAGACCTCTGTTTCAAGCAAACTATTTGATTAATAAAAATAACAAAAACTGATTCAATCTGCCAAACAGTCACTAAATGAAAACTAACCAAGCAGGTATTTTTTGACCAAAAGAAAGAAGCTGGCTGGGGATAAAAAATGTTTTATTGTAACAAATGCTATATTTAGTATTAAAAAAATGATTATTGTCATATCCTGAAGTGTGCTCAGCAGGTCCAAGGACTGATCCTAAATGGCCAGAGCAAGGTAAATAGCTTTTAATTCTTTTAGCCCCATTACTATATATTAGGGCTCAATCATATATGGAGAGCAGATTCACTCTCACCAAAGGAAGTTTACCTTTTTCTAAGAACACTGAATTTATTTGTCTACCTACAAATCATTTGGAAAATGACAGAAAGCAGCAGGTGGAAAAGACACCAATTGGAATTCATGAAAATTCGATTCTTGCTCCAGCTCTTTCTGTTACTTAGCTATTTGACCCTGGATTCATCACAAAACCTTTGCAAAGTGTGCGTATCCATGTAATTGTAATTATAATGATGTCTGCACTTAGTACTTCATCAGGAAATAAAGAGAATCACATTACTTAATAAATGTAAATGCTTTTGAAAAAGCAAAACTGTATTATGCAAAGTCAAGGTTTTGCTATTCTATTTTAGTATCTGTGTCAATGTGGTGTTCACTCTTCTCTCCATTGCTTGTGATCAAATACCTCTGTTAAAAAAATAAATAAACACTTTGCTGATTTGCTTGAAATGAGGAATAATGGTCTGAAAAGAATAATGATCTCCTTCATTTTTACGATGGGTTCCCAAGATACTTCCTACACTCGTTAGCAAGTTAGTGTAGCAAAAGGAATGCTGGCTCAGAATCCAACAACCTACATTTTTGTCTTGCCTTCACAATTAAATCAAATTCCTCTGGTGGAAGTGGCCTCCTGTGTCAGGACACAAATAATTTCAGATGGTTATGATGCTGGACTCTCGAAGAAAAAAATATATTGATTCAGAGTTACTCTGATCTGATAGAAGAAGTTGGTCTGGCCCCATGGTACTTCTTGGGCATCCTCAATCTTGCCAGCTCTGTAATCTTATGGGTTCTTCACTTCCCCCCTCTTTTATGAAAGAAAAGTGTCAGACAATGCCACTATATTCAGGTGAGCCTAATAGTGTAAAAAATCATCTTGACTGAGGCTAGGACTGCATCTCTCATACTGTTTCCTTTAGGGAAACCATTTCCTCTATCTGGTTCTTGGGAATCTGGGGACTAGATTCCAATAGGGGAGATGTGTCATACTGCAGGTGACTCACTTCCCTACTCTGTCCCAGGAGAATAAATTCTAGAAACATACACATCAAAATGTTAGGAAATGATTATTTCTGGATGGTTGGATTATTGACTATTGTCGTCAACTTTATACTTTTCCATACACAGTAAGTCAACAACACAGCTATTTCCATTTTTTTAAAAAAGCACCATGCTTTGAAAGGTGTAGGGAACCATGAGTCTCCTCTCGCTCAAAACTTGAACTATTAACTACTCATCCACTCCGTTAGGCTTGATTTTGGGTAGAGCTGTTCACCTCACCCTCCCATACCAGCTCTTCTTCCTACTTATCCACTTCACCATCCCACCCATTTTTCTTATCTCTAACTGTATCAAAATCATTCATACTCCCACATAAAGTATAATGTGAAACAAAAATAATAAGTTACTGTAGAATGCATTGGTACTTAACCGAGATTTTTTGGAGAGAGATTTTGAGGGAAAACCATGTATCCAATCGTCGATCAACGATAAGGGTAAACCGGGAGTCAGATCCATTTTGCCTGAAAGGTAAGAGGAAATAATATGTTTTTCTTTGTAATTAGACCAAATTTGCTAAATATGTCCTTATTTCTTATTATTTCATATACATTTAACATCTGAAGACAAATTTGGAAAGCTATCACAAAGCACCACATTGGAAAATCAATTTAATTCCATATTCTGTTACTCACTATTTAGAATTTTTTTTGGCATCAATGTCAATTGTTTAAATAGGCAAGTGATTGTGTAATGCAGATAAGTCACTAAAATAAATCTGGAATACTGAGACCTTGGGTATGGGGAAACCTTATAGACAGCTGTTATTCATTACATCAAATTTAACTTTTCAGGGCAATCCATCATGATGAGCCAATGGTCCTTTCATTCAGAAGAAGAATACAGTTAAACAGGTTTTTATCTCTTGTCTGCTCCTTGAGGGAAGGCAGTTTAATGGATAATAGAATTTGTATTTGCCCTAAAAAGACCACTTTCAAGCTTTAGGGGGTGTACTGTAAATTTTGTTTTCTGGGATTTGATTTTCATTCATGAGACTCTTCACAATTTTAGCATCCTAGATGTGCCCTCTTAGTCTTCAGAGTTAGTAACTGGAAAATGTTTCCTTCAAAAAATTTGTTTTCAACCTAAATAAAATCTTTAAGGAAGCATTTGAAACTTTCTCTTTTAAAGCACTCTAGTCTCAAATGACTTCTAATATCAAGAAGTTCTTCCTAATATAGTCCATGTCACTTTTTACATACATAATATTCGGTCTTCTTATTTTATCCCTAGACGAAATGAAGAATAGCTGTCTGGACTCTTGCTGGTAATATTTCCTGTTAGGCAAATTAAAGGCTTTATGTATGATCGTCATTTTCAACCTAAGCTTTTCTTCATGGGGACAAATACTTCTAGACCCCTAATTTTGTTTTCATAGATCCTTGGTATAGTTTTTATAGCAATTTAGGAGGTAGCATTCAGTTTCCCCTTCATCTACTCTGACGGTGAGTCATATGATCATTTATTACAGTAACAGCCATACTAAAAAGCCATTTTCCTCTTGTTACCTTCAAAAGGGTCTCTGATATAAAACAAATTGAAAACAAATGTAGTGAAATGCTGTACCTCGCAACTGACATCAAATAAGTCAGCACTTTTGCTATCACATCTTCTGGTATACATCTGAAATTACAATTTTCTGGAAACGTAATGATCCAAGCATTGTCCTTCCCCCGACCTCCTAAAATAGTATTAAAAAAAACAGCTGAATTAACAATTTATGTGGCAACAATGCAAGAAAAAGGATTTTAGATTTGAGACGGGATGTTAGAAGGCAGTTTGGAGCCAAAGTAACTTTTATAAAGGATGATCTCTACATAAACCAGAATGGCACTATGATCCTAAGTGAAAAAATGGCAGAATGGTTTCTAAATGAAAAAACAATGAAGGAACAAGAAGGCAAAATCAGTGAATACAGTCAGAAGAAAATGTCAAGGTATGTGTATAACAAGTTGGAAAAAAAAGCTGATCCCTCATATTGGCCAACCAAGGGTATTAGGAAATAGCTATTTCTTTAACAGTGCTATGGGCTTAAACTCAAAAGGGGTAATTAACAACTTGAAAGCAAGTGGAAACCTTCATATAATCAACCTCTTACAGTCATAGGGAGCTTAAGAGAATAAAGGTGACAAACTATAGGAAGTAAGTGATACTCTAATGGGTCTATGGAAGGAACAACATAAGCAGTGACAGGAACAATGGAATAGGAATCTTGCTAATGCAAAGAAAGACCATAAAATTTCTGTGGGTTAAAATTCAGTATACACCACACTCCACAGCCCTCTGCACAGTCTGGAGGATGAGAAACACTGAGAATGAAAGTTATCTAAGTGTACAGATGAGCCTGACATATGTTTAAGGTCCCTCCTACAGCTGCCTAATACCTGGGCACAGAATAGGTATTCAATAAATATTTAGTTGTAAATGGAAGCTGAAGGATTATTTTTAGTAGAAAAGTTGTGGGGTGCCCTTTACATTTAACTTGCTAATAGAATTTTTTTAAGACTTTTAGTCATAATTCATATTTGGCTGAATTTAAGTGAATAAATATATAAGGATATATTAAAAATATTCAATGTAGGGGATTAAGGGGCACTATAATTCACAATCACAATATAGGTAGGTCACAGAGAAGGCAGTATAGTACAAAGAAGACAAGTAGTAACTCTATAGCATCTTACTGTGCTGACAGCGACTGCAATGGTGAGGGGTTAGGACTTGATAATATGGGTGAATGTTGAAATCACAATGTTGTTCATGTGAAACCTTCTTCATAAGATTGTATGCCAATGATACTTTAATTTAAAAAATTCAAGCCAAAGCAATCCTGAGAAGGAAGAATAACACAGAGGGGATCTCGCTTCCCAACTTCAAGCTCTACTACAAAGCCACAGTAATCAAGACAATTTGGTACTGGCACAAGAACAGACCCACAGAACAGCAGAACAGAATAGAGAGTCCAGATATAAACCTAAGCATATATGGTCAATCAATGTATGATAAAGGAGCCATGAACATACAATGGGGAAATGACAGCCTCTTCAACAGCTGGTGTTGGCAAAACTAGACAGCTACATGTAAGACAATGAAACTGGATCATTGTCTAACCCCATACACAAAAGTATATTCGAAATGGATCAAAGACCTGAATGTAAATCATGAAACCATAAAACTCTTAGGAAAACACACAGGCAAAAATCTCTTGGATATAAACATGAGCAACTTCTTTATGAACATATTTCCCTGGGCAAGGGAAACAAAAGCAAAAATGAACAAGTGGGACTATATCAAGCTGAATAGCTTCTGTACAGCAAAGGGCACCATCAACAGAACAAGAAGGTATCCTACATAATGGGAGAATATATTCATAAATGACAGATCCTATAAAGGGTTGACATCCAAAATATATAAAGAGCTCACGTACCTCAACAAACAAAAAGCAAATAATCCAATTAAAAAATGGGCAGAGGAGCTGAATAGACAGTTCTCTAAAGAAGAAATTCAGATGGCCAACAGACACATGAAAAGATGCTCCACATCGCTAATCATCAAAGAAAGGCAAATTAAAACCACAAGGAGATATCACCTCACACCAGTAAGGATCGCCACCATCCAAAAGACAAACAACAATAAATGTTGGTGAGGATGTGGAGAAAGGGGAACCCTCCTACACTGCTGGTGGGAATGTAAACTAGTTCAACCATTATGGAAAGCAGTGTGGAGGTTCCTCAAAAAACTAAAAATAGAAAAACCATTTGACCCAGGAATCCCACTCCTACAAATTCACCCTAAGAATGCAGCAGCCCAGTTTGAAAAAGACATAAGCACCCCTATGCTTATCACAGCACTATTTACAATCACCAAGAAATGGAAGCAACCTAAGTGTTCATCAGTAGATGAGTGGATAAAGAAGAAGAGGGGGTACATATATACAATGGAATATTATTCAGCCATAAGAAGAAAAGAAATCCTACCATTTGCAACAACATGGATGGAGCTAGAGGGTATTATGCTCAGTGAAATAAGGCAGGTCGAGAAAGACAAGTACCAAATGATTTCACTCATCTGTGGAGTATAAGAACAAAGAAAAAACTGAAGGAACAAAACAGCAGCAGACTCACAGAACCCAAGAATGGACTAACAGTTACCAAAGGGAAAGGGACTGGGGAGGATGGGTGGGAAGGGAGGGATAAGGGGAAAAATGGGGCATTATGAATAGCAGACATAATGTGGAGGTGGGGCACGGGGAAGGCTGTACAACATAGAGAAGACAAGTAGTGATTCTACAGCATCTTACTACGCTGATGGACAGTGACTGTAATGGGGTATGTGGTGGGGACTTGATGATGGGGGGAGTCTAGTAAACATAATGTTGCTCATGTAATTGTAGATTAATGATACCAAACTAAAAAAAAACAATTCTATTTGCAATAAAATCATGACAATGGCCAAGGAGAGAAAGGGGAATGATAAAAACTGCCCCAAAGAGAGAAGTACAGGGGAGAAAAAAGAGAACCAAAGGAACAAATAGAAAACAAATATTAACATGGTAGATTTCAACTCAGCCATATGAATAACCACACTAATGTAAATGATCTACATGCCCCAATTTAAAGTTAGAGATCATCAAATTGGATAAAAAAATCAAGACCCAACTAGACAATGCCTACAAAAATACATTTTAAACATAAAGGTACAAATGCATTAAAAGGACAAGGATGGAAAAAGATACATCATGCTAGTATTAGTCAAAAGGAAGTTGATTTTAGACAAAGTCTATTTCAGAGACAAGAATATTACTACATAGTAAGGTCATTTGATAATTAAAAGTAGTAACTTCATCAAGATGATGTAACAATCCTAAAGCTATGTACCTGATAACAGAGCTTCAAAATATGTGAAACAAAACTGACAGAACTGCTAGGAGATATAGACAAATCCACAATCTGAGTCAGAAATTTCACCACTCCTCTCTTGAGACAGGAATCTGCAGGTATATATCTAAACAATCTCAATCAACATGACCTCGTTGACATTGAAAAAACACTCCATTTAACAAAAGCCAAATACACATTCTTCTCTCGTGCACTTAGAAAGAGATCAAATTTATTCCTTCCTTCATCTTTACAGGGAAACTTGAGGGGAGTCTATTCCCAAATCATCTTTTCAATCAAACTAGTCCAAGGTGTTAAATCAAATGATGATAAATCTTCACTTTATCATCTCCTAGACTTAAAGAGTAGGATGAAGATAATCAAGGAGAATGATGGCATCCACCCAAGAGGCTTTAAAGGTACTCAAAGGAGAAACTGTACAATTCTGAACCAAGAGATTTAGCAAAGTCATTAAACAAAGGGCCTCTCTAGATGGGGTTTGGTGTAGAACTAGCAATATAAATAATATGTAGCATATAATGCAACATATATACTATATATCGCATAACTTAGACTTGCCAAGCAAACTGGTAAGCACTCTAGTCAAGGACAGACCGCCTAGCACTTGGGCAAGCTATACCTATCAAAGGAAAGAATGCAAGGCTCTTATAAGGGTAAATTATCATTGACTAACCTACAAACTGTTATTACCATTGAGTATCTATAAGCACTGCACCAGGTAGTAAATTTGTGAGAAAAGAAGAGAGATTTATATTCTAAATTGGGAGGTTTGAATCACTTTTCCCAATAGAAACCCTTTCTTCAAAAGAAACCACATGCAGAAACATTCTGAAAACTACAAAAAGCAGATAAGCAAGGAAATCGTGAAAAGGGATCTGCGGGGGAGAACAAGCCCTGAGGTCTATTCTATTTGGAACACAATTTGAAAAACATTTATGAGTTTCAGTAAAATCTCTGAATCTCAGGGGTGACAGTATGTCACACACACTACATATAAAACATAAAACTATATTAAATCTCTACTAATTCACAATTACCATTAATTATAATCATTAAAGCAGAGGCCAGATTGAAGTGTCCAATTAGGATCATTATAAATTAAATGCCTGGTTAGTAAACTGAACATCTAAGCATCACTTTAGGAGAAATAATTAAACAACATACTGTTCATTTCTTGTACTCAACATGTAACAGGCATCCATTTTCATGCAAACAATGCCTATACTCCTAAACTTTTCTTATCTATTTAATATAATATATAATATTTAATGGTATAGTTCAAATCACTCTAATATCTGAACAGTATTTGCTTATCTTTAAGCAAAACTTTCCCTAGATATCTGATCACGTCAAAAAGAGAGGGGTTTTCCTACACTGCTGGTGGGAATGTAAACTAGTTCTACCATTGTGGGAAGCAATATGGAGGTTCCTCAAAAAACTAAAAATTGAAATTCCATTTGACCCAGGAATTCCACTCCTAGGAATTTACCCAAAGAATATAATTTCTCAGATTCAAAAAGACATATGCACCCCTATGTGTATTGCAGCACTATTTATAATAGCCAAGATATGGAAGCAACCTAAGTGTCCATCAGTAGATGAATGGATAAATAAGAGGTGGTACATATACACAATGGGATATTACTCAGCATAAGAAGAAAACAAGTCCTACCATTTGCAACAACATGGATGGAGCTAGAGGGTATTACGCTCAGTGAAATAAGCCAAGTGGAGAAAAACAAGTACCAAATGATTTCACTCATTTGTGGAGTATAACAACAAAGCAAAACTGAGGGAACAAAACAGCAGCAGATTCACAAACTCGAAGAAGGGGCTAGCGGTTCAAAGGGAAGAGGTATGGGAGGGTGGGTGGGGAGAAAGGGAGAAGGGGATTAAGGGGCACTATAATTAGCACTCACAATATAGGTAGGTCATGGGGAAGGCAGTATAACACGGAGAAGACAAGTAATGTCTGTATAGCATCTTACTACGCTGATGGACAGTGAGATGGACAGCTGTCCCATGGGAGAGATTGCAATGGGGTGGTCGGGGGACTTGATAATATGGGTGAATGTTGAAACCACAATGTTGCTCATGTGAAACTTTCATAAGATTGTATATCAATGAGACTTTAACAAAAAAAAAGACGGGTTTACTACAGTTATGTCTCTAAAATTATGTATGTTATTGAGCAGCATTATTTGCAATAGCCAAAAGTTGGAAGCAACCCAAGTATCCATCAACAGATGAACAGACAAACAAAATGTGGAATATTATTGAGCCTTAAAAAAGAAGGAAATTCTGACATGTGGTATGGTATGGATGAACCTTGAGGACATTATGCTATGTGAAATGAGCCAGTCACAAAAAGACACTGTGATTCCACTTCTATGAGGTCCCTAGTCAAATACCTTGAGACAAAGAGCAGAATGGTGGTTACTAGGGGCTAGGGAGGAGGGAATGGGGAGTTATTTTTCAGTGGATACAGTTTTAGTTTTACAAGATGAAGTGTTCTGGAGATTGATGGAGAGCTCTGGAGATTGGTGGTGGTGACAGGTGCAGAACAATGTGAATGTACTTAATGTTACTGAACTGTACACCTAAAAATGCTTAGGAGAGTCAATTGTGCATTTTACCAGAATCTTAAAAAATATATACAAATGCATATACATATCCAAATACATACACATATTTCAGAACAGTAAACTTTATCATGTATAAGTGAAATCCTAAAAAGAAAAAGAAAACTTAGTACATGCTGTTTAATTAGGGTGACTTGACAGCTTTTGCAAAAAAACACTCAGAGCTAATGGTGGAAGAGAAAATCTCAAAGAAGACCTCCTCAGTTTTCCCCTGTCACTCAGCCAGCACCCACTAGGAGACAGATTCTATTCTCATCCATCATGGACTCCTAAAGGCTTGCTGAAATCAAATGTACAAGGGTGGTAAGATTGTTTTAATCACATATCTAAACACATTTAAAACCTCTAAGTATTCTCTAAATGTCGATTTGTTTAACAACTACATGCACAATGTATAAATATTTATTAAAATAGTGCTTCTCAAACTATATATATATACACACACATATTATTCATACAATATGTATAAATATAAAATATATATATTTTATAATTATACATACTATATATTTATTTTTATGTATTTGGTTATATTATATATATACATATAAAATAAGGACCAAACTAACTTTGTTAATATAGTCATACATTTATCTGGTTTAAATATGTGAAAAGGTCTGCTTACCAGACAAGAAGGCGATATTCTGCATCAAGAAATGACTGATGTCCTTTACACGGAGAAGCAGCTCAGTTTCTATGACAGATGAGAAAGGGAAAGAAACAACATCCATGTTAGAATACCGCTAGAAACAGACACGAGATTTCTCACTGTGCTGAAAAGAACTCTGGGGGGTCCTGCTGCTCTGCATGCAGACACACTGAGCTCCTCTTTATGCCTCTCAGCTACACGGCAAGGAAATCACACTCTTGAAAATCTCTCCAGTAAGTAGGACTAGTATCCTCGTGCTCAGAACCTGTGCTCAGGACATAAACTACTCTCATTACCAGAAAGCCAGGGGTAGGGGTCCAAACTCCAGGACTTCCAGATTTATTTCAAGGGTAGAGAGTCATATAGAAACACTGGAGTAGATTGTCTTCTATTTCTGATAACGCCTTTCATTCTGCAAAGCTTTATTAGCTATTACAAAGTGCTTCCCAGTTCTTTTATCTTATTGGATCCTTAAAATAATCTTGAGGAAGGTATTACCATCCCATCTTGTAAGTTGGGAAAAGAGTCAGAGAGGGAATACTGTGTCGTTAGATAGACCTGGATTCAAATCTCAGCATGTTGAATTTATTGGCTGTACAAACAAGTGCAAGTTACTTATCTCCTCTGAACCTTGAGTTTCCTTACTTGTAAACTGGACATCATAACATCTACCTCACAGGGTGCTGTGCCAACTAAATGCAAAATAACTGGCATAATGGTTGGTGCTCAATAAATGGTAGCACATTAACCCATCTTTCATTATTATAGGTGAAACAACACCCATGCATTGTTCAATATGTTTTCATTGTCCCAGATTTTAAGTGCTAATTTGTAATGTTCAATTCTAGTGAATTCTACAGGGACTAAAATCAAAGTCCACCTCCTGCCTCTGGTCTATAAGCAAGGATAACTTTTTAAAAGAAAATGGGTTATCAAACTAGGCTATTTTGGATTGTTGGTGTTAATGCCTGTGGTTCCACATCTCTTATAGAAGCCCCATTTTCCACTGCTGTCTGATACAAAGGGCTTTCAAAGACCTAATCTCTAGTGGTGTCAGGGTGATGACACATTACCCTTCTTGGTGTTCCTCAAATGATACCATATGGATGTGGCTTTCCAGAGCCAATCCTGCTTGAGGGCACTACAAAAACAAGTTCTCAGTGGGGCCACACTAGACAGTGGAATAGGCTATCTATCTGTTGCAGAATGACCCACCCCTCACATACACAGCCCATATTTTAAACATAAAGAAATTGACAAACTCATTGTCATCAAACACGTGCCATTACAAACCTGCCATCTGTTGGGACATAGAAATCCATTCCTCAAGACGTCTCTGTGTCCCAGGCCAAGGCATGCACATTTACACTTTTGTGTCTTTATATCCAGAGTTCCAAACACAGTCATTTTGTTAATACTGCATGTTTCCTCAGATTAAAGAATGTGCTTCTGACAGTCACAAACATGGGCCGTGCACTAACATGTTTAGGTATGGAGACATGGAGGAAGGTCAAGAATCGGGATAATAGGACTAGAATTCTCTGTCCTTAGAGGCCTGCAGAAGTGGCAATGGCCCAAATGTGTTCTACCATTTAGATGAGAGAGCATTAGGCATTAAAATATTCCTACAAAATAAGCCCCAAATTTGTCCCCTGCTTTGATCAGTAGGAATGTTTTCAAGGTAAATTGATGCATTTCATATCAGATGGCAGATCCAGAAGTACTAACTTCAGCAGCTTGATTCCTGCCATGACTCGGGCTCTTACAAAGCTACGGAAACTACGTGCACTTACTCTATAATTGTTTGAATCCACTCATGTAATAAGAGAGGCATCAGGGCATAAAATAAAAGGCTGAGGGCCTGGGAATGGGACAATGCGGGCCCAGGGGTGGCTCAGTTACCAAACAGCTCTGTGATCTGGAGCACTCCCCACCCTGCTCACCTCAGGACCCCCATTTTAGCAGTGAGGGCAACATGAACACATGCTTTCTAAGGCCCTTACATTCCATGAGATCCAACATCAGATAAAAATCCACAGATATACGAAAAACACACTACTGTTTCTGTCTTAATATGTCTCCCACAACTGTGCCACCAAAATAACATTTCCATTCTAACTAGAAAGGATGAACAAATGGTTAAAAGGGAAGACGTTACTACTTTAAAAAATGATCAAGTTCTAGGTTGGAAACACACTGAAGGGAGAAGAGATGACCCAGGAAAAGAACAAAAGCCATGGGGAGATCACCGAGCAGCCATAAAAAACAAGGTAAGCCTGCCTGGCACTGAGACCAGAGGGAGAGAGTACTGACTTTGGAGAAAGCTGACACTTGAGTTACACCCAGCTTCATATCTGACTCTCTTGAATTTCCACACAGGTTTCATCCCAAAATATAAAAGAGAGAACAAATACAACTTTCATGTTTCTCTTGCTGACTTCTAGATTCGTTTACTCTAGAGCATGAGAAATAAGCCTGGATCACCAAAGCTGGATCAAGTTCCACATGAGCACATGTTCCTGGCTGAGCAGATTCACATACGTGGCAAGTTTAATCACTCACAAATGAAAAGAGTGTGTTCTCCTGACTTTGGACTACTTGCAAACCCAACAAGGGCTGGTTGGGAAGCCAAAAAAGGGGCACTAACTCAACAGGTAATCTGACAAGCACCCTAAAAACACCCTGACGGAGCAGCTCTTTATATAAGGGCTCTGCTTTAGACCCATGTGCTTGTACAGTCAAACACAATTGGGCGCAAACTGAAAACAAAAGACAGGAAAAGTGCTTGCCAATTCACTCATTCCATACACGTGATCAGGAAGCAAGAGACACGCACGCTTTTATTGCCTTGACCATACATTGAAAACTTATCGCTAATATTTCTCTTGTAATATAAAAGGTGGTGGTACAAACAAGGATACAAGCTCAGAATTCAAATACAAAGAATTTAGAAGTCCTAAAAAAAAAAAAGGTGTGCAAATAAATCATATACTTAGGATGGTTCACAGAGTGGAAGGTACACCCATCCAATCAGTTGATCCACTTTGGCTCTGTCACTTGCAGTGATGGAGAATGCTTGTCACCTTGATACAAGGCTGCCCTTTATAGTTTTCGAAGATTTATTTTGCATTCATTCACTTTTTTAAACAAGCATTTATTGAGCTCCTACTATGTACCCAGACACTGTTCCAAGTTGTAGAAAAATGTCTAGGTAAAAGTAAGGGTTCACGATTCAATTAAGTTTGTGAAATATTGGGGGTTAAGCATACTACAACACTCCCCCAGCATATATGCACACACACACTGCAACTCCATGGGTGCAGGCCATGTCCACAGTGGCTCCCTGACCTATTTGATCAGGTATTCCTTTGGTTGGCTGGGTAGTTGGTTGGTTTTTCCCTCAGAGAAAGAGAAAAAGAGAAGACAAACAGAAAAAAACAGACATCAACAGAAAGAGCTACACAGACTCCATGTGAGTCAGCACTTCATTCTAAAAGTCAGAACTTCCTGCAGGTGAAAAATGCCTTTCCAATTGCAAACAGCCTTCGATCAGCAGTGATAAAAAGAAAATGGAAAAACAATAGAGAAAAATCAGTGAAAAGGCTAAAAAACCTTCTGTGAAAACCTTAACACAATTGAAACTCTAAGCTAAATGGACAAAGAAAAAAGGAGAAGATGCAAATTGCTAAAATCAGAAATGAAAGACAGGACAGGACCACTGATTCTACAGAATGAAAAATAATTTAACAATACTATCTACATCTGTAAACCAAAAGATTAAATAAACCAGACATTCCTAGAAATGTCAAACTTACCAGCTGAAACACAAAGAAACAGAAATCCACATATTTCTTATTTTGAACTTTATTCCATTCTAAATTCTTGTCATATAGTTTGCTTTTCTTTATTCTTAATACTACAGGCATGTAGATACTTTTTTCTAAATTCCAGTATTGCAGCATCTGATATTGTGATTTTTATCTTCCTTTCAGATTAAAAGACATTCTTAAAAAAAATCACGTTTGATCAAAGGCCAAGCAGCCCTGTAACAAGGAGGCTAGGGAGGACAACTGAGCATGTAATTGGGTTGTAATAAATGATCTTTCATGTCCTACTCCTCCGAGAGTCCATGCCTGCATGATTTGAGTGTGATTACCATTGCAAGGATTTTAAATTCTACTGAGTTTATTAATGACTCTTGTAGGGAAAATGATAATTTAGGAAGTTAAGTAGTGGCATACACAATGGAATATTATTCAGCCATAAGAAGAAAACAAATCCTACCATTTGCAACAACACAGATGGAGCTAGAGGGTATTATGCTCAGTGAAAAAGACAAGTATCAAATGATTTCACTCATCTGTGGAGTATAAGAACAAAGCAAAAACTGAAGGAACAAAACAGCAGCAGACTCACAGACCCCAAGAATGGACTAACAGTTACCAAAGAGAAAGGGACTGGGGAGGATGGGTGGGAAGGGAGGGATAAGGGGGGGAAAGGGGCATTATGATTAGCACACATAATGTAGTGGGGGGCACAGGGAGGGCTGTACAACACAGAGAAGACAAGTAGTGATTTTATAGCATCTTACTACACTGATGGACAGTGACTGTAAAGGGGTATGTGGGGGGAACTTGATGATGGGGGGAGTCTAGTAAACATAATGTTGCTCATGTAATTGTAGATTAATGATACCAAAACAGAAAAAAAAATCTGTTAGACTGAGAAGCTTTTATGGTGTCATCGATTGGGCTCCCTAGCCTTGAGACAGGTAAAGGAAAATGGGCATTTAGAAGATTACACTCAATTAGCTCTAACGTAAATTCAAATTCCTAGCTACTAGATGTCTCCATAATCTCCCATTATCTTCCAGGAAGAGTTTCATCCCAAATCATATCAAGAATGTTTATAAACAATCTTTTGCAAGAAACCTCATTATTTTTACAGCTTGAAATTCTTAACAATGATGATTCTCAGGCAATCATCTCTTTGACAGTTCCTTACTGCTGATGTGCAGGACTCAGATTAAAATTAGGTTTTATTTC